TCTACCCCTGTATTTTGCTCAGCTCTCTAAATTGACTCAACTCCAGGTAAGGTCAGAAACGTCTCCCACAAATAGACGTTCGTTTTCTGCAGTGGGGGTGTGTGTTCAGGAGTGGAGGCTCTACCTCTCCCACTTCCGCAATTGGGACACTCACAGGCTTTGGTGTATCTCCCAGGTCCTTCATGACCAGTCCACTTCCTTCAGAGCACCTGTGGTTCCTCTCAGGATTCAATCTGGAGCTAGAATTCACAATGCAAGCCTGCATGCTGCTCTGTCCAGAGCTGCAATCTAGCCCTGACTCCCATCAGCCATGATGATCATACCTCCTCTAAAGACCAATTCTCACTCTATTTGTAGTATTTTCTACTAGTAAAATTGGCCAGTTAAGGATACTGTTATTCAGAGAATGATGTCTCAGTTAAGAGGATGTATATTTATTTCATAGTTCATATTTTAATTATTTATTGTAAAGTGGCAACAGTAAATATCTGCCTCACTTACCTTGTATCAATATGAGGACAATTTGTATATTTTCAGAGGAACACTTTGAATTCATCAGAAGAAAGATACTGAAAATTCCACAGGGTTCTATATATTCCCATTAGGTATTTTAAACTTTAAGGCTATAATTTAAAACTATTATTGATTATTTTAATTCTATAGGACTGAAAAGGCATTTGCAGAAATACTGTCTTTGATTTTCCTGTTTCTATTTATAGAGAACAAATAACTTATTTATTTAGGCTTTCCTGTGTTTTCTGGGACATTGATAAGGATCACAAAATATTATATAAAAATCAGAGCCACAGAAAGATGATAGAAAATATAGTGAATAAATTAAAAGGAAAACTAATAGTTGAGAGAAAAGTATTCATAGGACATAGAAATATGGAAGCAATAAAACTGAAAAAGACATTGGGTAACAGTTAGATAAAATTAGAAATGATGTGCTGCTCCCCCAAAATATTCCATTTAATTTTTGACTGTGTATGAGGAGGTATTCTGTCAGGGTAAGAGGAAAGGAAAATATAAATGTTTGAAAACAGACAAGGTTATAGAGCATTGATATCTTCTGACTTCTTACAAGTCAGCACAGCTTGCTTTGGCTGGTGCATGAATGACAAGGTACTCTTTGCTAGATTGGTTCTACCTGGGGCTGTGTTTGGAGAGGTGCTGCTGCTAAGGCATACATACATTCAGCCCCCTCCAGATGTGCTCCCTAAGTGCCTTTGAGTTTGCCCATTCAGTCTTCATTCAGTGAGTAGTTGTTGTGTGCAAGACATTGCTCTGGGTACCAGGGATACAGCAGTGAATTGCAATGGATGAAGGTCTCACACAGAGCTTACCTTCTGGTAAGGGAGACTAACAGTAATCAAGATAAGTTAGAAAAGTATATAGGATGTCAGAAGTTTATTGTCTGTCTCCCCTATTAGAATGCAAGTTCCATGTAGGAGAAAATAAAAAGCAGGAAGGGAGGACCTGAAGAATGTGTTTCTGGAAGAGAGGGTAAGAATTTTGAGACCCATTTACCAGTCCTTTAAGATTTATGGTAACCATAAAGCAGAGTTACCAGCAAATTATTATTCCACTACTCCTGAAGTGGCTATAGGAAAGTATAGCATTTGTGCAGCACTCTAGGCATCACAGACAAGGTTACTTATATCCAGAGGTAGATGGACAGAGTCTTGTGACATCACATGCCTCCTATCTGACCTGAATGGTGAGGGTATCTTGACATGTCTTTGGCCACTTCATACCAGGCACACAGGATGGAAAGCTCTACCTTACAGTGTCATTTTTTGCATGCTATTGAGGAAAAGCCTGAACCTAGATTCACTAAAACTATGTTGTCTAAAGGCCTGATGCGTGTCAGCATATTTTCTCCCATAACTTATAACCATCACATTATTCCTTGCCCCTACTATAGCTTAGATGGGCATCTCTCTATTATTTCAGCTTTCCTAGAACACTTGATATAAATCTAGGCACTTCAAAATTAGAAAGATAACAGAATACAGTAAATGTATTAAAAAAAAAAAAAAAAAAGGAAGAAGAGGAAAGGAAAAGGAAAACAACCAAGCATTGTAGATTCTTCTGGGTTAAGAATTAAACTTGAGAAGTTCCTCTATTTAGATGGTCCTTTCTTGGGTTTGGATGTAAAGAAGGAGACCATCAGTCATATGTACCTAATTGCTAAGCCCTGTTTTCTCACCAGAATGTGAAGTCGAAATTTAGCAATTACGAGGTGAATTTGAATCGTAGACAACCTGCTAATGTAACCCTAATTTTTATTTGCTTAAATAGTCCAAATTGACTGTTTGCACTGACTAAACTTACTGAATATTTGCTAAATAGTCACTTCACTTTATTGCTGAAAATTCCTCTTGAGGATGTGACACTAAGTTATATCTCTTCTTTGTCAGTGAATAATCACTTCCTTCTAAAGATAGCAATGAAAAATCAACAGTAATTGCCTGTAGAATGTGGTGTCACTCAGAATGTGTAGACAAGTTGAGTTGTCTAATGTGTTTTTAGACACAGCTTAAATTAATTAGGTAATTGAAAATCTATACTTTGCCTTGTAAACATATCTTAAAATTCAAGGCATATTAGCATATATGATACTGTACCACTTTTGAGTATGTGTACTGCTCAAGAAGTATAGCATTCCTGTTTGCATTCAAAAGTTATTCTAATTCTTTAAGTGATGTTTTCATGAACTAAATAACACTTTTCAGACAGTTTTTATTGCTGTAGAATTAACCTTGTAGCTTTTGATTATCAGTTCCTCTATTCAGTGTTGTATGCTACCTTACAATTATTAGTTAATGTAAGGGATGAGTATTGTAAAAGTTGGCCACCAGGAACTCTGTGTTTTCAGTTTATCATTCATAATAAATAGTTGGAATCAGGAACTCTAAGGAAGTAATTAATTATAGAATCATTTAAGATTTCCTATCTAAATATAAAATCTTTATTTATATTGATTACTAGTATATATAATCATTTGCCCTGATTATATATATTTTATCAGGTCCAATTATTATCCTGTGACTCTGACTTTTTCAGTTTTCCAGTAATCACAGTGAATATAAGTAGTCTCACTCCAAAAATCTCACTTTAAAAAAATTAAAAATAGCCACCATGTTTTTTACAGCTTTCTGAACCAATTTGTGAAAAATCCTTCGAAGAATTTGGCAGTAAAGGTGGCAACTCTCCTTTTCCTGAGCTAACTCTTCTCTTTAAAGAAAAAAAATTTTTAACTAATTATTTTGGGACTGCTTTTAGGTAAATTACTGAATAATAAGAATTTGTGTTTGTACTTTATAAGTTTTGAGTTAATATGGAAATACTATTCCTTTTACTCTCCCATAGGACTATCTTTATGGCTCTTAATGCTCTGTCTGTAATGGTTGGAAAAATAAGTCAGGAACCAGTGGTACTTTAGACAGACATTTTCATCCTTTGTATCGTACATTAAGTCTTGATCTCCCTTCCTATGGCTGTCTTTGCTTCACTTGCCCTCTGTTAGTTCTGTCTGAGTCACTGCCCTTGATGGATCTCTCTATGCCTATTGATTGACTCTCTCATCTGGCTTAGTCTCTATGCCATGTCTTCCTGGCTTCCAGTCTCCCTGACCTGAAGACTCTGCCCTCCCAGCCCGTGGAATCACATCTCCCCCAGCCTACATGTTTCTGTTTAACCTTGTCTGACTGTGGTTTGCCTGGGTTCGCTTGCCCTTCACTTCCCTCTGACATGGGCTCTGTGCCTCCCTCAAGCCACAAGGCTCACGATCTGCTCTCACCTATACATTCTGTGTGCCCCTATGTACACCCGCTCAGCCTGCCCTGTCTGTCTTGTCATAGACAGACTGACAGCAAGTCACCAGTGATAAATCTGTCTGCATCCCCAAATATTCCCAAAACATACATGTTCAGAGATACTGCATTGCTTTCTAGAGGTGATTTGGAATATCTAAAATGCATCTTCTCTGGTACTAAAATGAATATTCAAAGTGAACATTAGGCACTATGCTTAAGCCAAATATTATTTATTTATAAAATCTCAAGATGTTCAGAGTTGATTATCAGCACTTTAAAAGCAGGAGTATAATTTTTTAAGTTTTTGCTATTTCATATTTCTTAAAATATAGTCTCTTTCCAAAGGAAAATAGTTCTATTTAATGATAAATTTTGAGAGGTAATTATTTTGGATTAATGACTTTGTTTGGATTAATGAGTTTGTAGGTACAAAAAATTAATTTAACTGATATTTGATGTCTAAATGTTCTTTGAGACCTTGTGCTAGCATTTCTGACCATAGTGCCTGTTAATATCCCCGTCAGCCATACATACATGACCCTAACTATTTGATATATTATACCAATAAGTGAAAATATATTTTACCAACTAGTTTATAGATGTTTTGCATAACTGCATGGCACAATCCTTGATATAATTCTATTGTATTACATAATTTCTTAATTTCTAAAGTGCTATAGAAGCAACTTGTTAAAAAAAAGTTGGGGCAAAAAAAACACCCCCTTTTAAGCTTTTTGTAGCAATGATTTCTATAAATGAGACTTTTTAAGGAGACCCTAAGTTAAAAGTTATGAGTAAGCTAAAATCAAAATCAGCATGAAGATTCTTTTGTTATTTGCTAATATTTCAGAAATTTAAAAAAGTAATGTGAAAATTTTCAGACTTTTTAAATTTTATTTACTTTTTAAAAATTCTCTTCAAAGAAATTTAGTCTTCTACTAATTTTAATATATGTGAAATAGTAGCTAGACCTCTCCTTCTCAGTTTCCAGATGGAAGGTGATTAAATTTAAAATAAGACATTGTTGGCTGTGTATGATGGCTCATGACTGTTATCCCAGCACTTTGGGAAGCAAAGGTGGGAGGATGCCTTGAGGCCAGGAATTTGAGACCAGCCTGGGCAACATAGTGAGACCCCATCTCTACAAAAAAATTAAAAAATTTAGTTAGGCAGGGTAGAGCATGCTTGTGGTCCCAGCTACCTGGGAGGCTCAAATGGACAGATCGCTTGAGGCTGGGAGGTTGAGGCTGCAGTGGACCATGAGTGTGCCACTGTAATCCAATCTGGGCAACAGAATGAGACCCATCTCAAAAATGAAATAAGACATTGTTCATTTAAGGCCACAAATATAACCAATATGTAGGAAAGCTATTGTATGTGAAATTAGAGGTACTCAGTTTGAATATTACAATAGTTTAGATTTTTGCCATATTTTTCTTATGAAGGAGTAATCACTCAGAGTTATTTGTTTTTGCTTTTCTTTAAAAACAATATCAAGCATGTAAAAATCAGCATAAGTAGCAAAGCTTAAATTTTTAGATAATCCAAATTTAATTATTCTACCAATTAGTTAATTGTCTTCATTCATCCCCCCAAAATTAGAGCCTAATTCCATGTCTTACCCCTAATTTGAGTTATTCTTGATTCTCTTGAGGCAAGAAACTAACTGTAAATATTTATTCTTGAATTCCACAGAGTTGTATTGAACACCTAATCTGTATTAGGCACCAATCTAGGCTTCAAGGGTATAAAGAGTATTAGACATGACTTCTGCTCTTAAGGAGCTCACAGTCTCCTAGAAAGAAGTCTTGTGTTTATTGCAAAGAGTCTCTTTGCTCCTAGTCAGAGAATTATCATTGTAATGGGTGGTGTGGTTGGGAGTGAGGAAGTAAAGGGCTAATGAGCTCTTTTAGAATCCACAAGTACCTCCTAGTTCACCAACATCCTTTTTTATTAGATGACACTCTAATGTCCTTGAAGAGTTAGTGCATCTTCTGAAAGTATCCACTTTTCTTCCATACTGTCATGAAAACCTGGCTTTTTACTCTAGATATTCTAAACAAGCATATGTTACTTGTCATTTCAACCTCTTTAATAGTAGTATGTGAGCATTTATCAGGAGGATCTTTGGATTTATCATGACCATGGGAAATTTGTATTTTCCCAAATATGTGGAGAATAATGGCCAGATAAATATCCACAATCACATTGTCTGTAAAATAGGTAAGACTAGTATCATCTCATTGGGTTCTATTAAGTGAAATAATTTATATAGAGTTCTTAAAACAGTACCTAGCATATGGTAAGAACTTCATAATTCCTCACTTTGCATAATTTTGATATACACGAATTTTTGTTACCATGGTTTAGTTAAATAACACCAATTCCCCAGAAAACAAGGTTCAAAGTTCAGCTTCCACAATATATTACGTGTAATTGCATTAAGCACACTTTGCCACTAGCCCTTCAGTCCACAGATCTGTATGTGAATAACAGATGCACATCATGATCAATGGCCAATCACATTACTTTTTTCAGACTCTTGTCACTGATTGGTCATATCATATCTGCTTTCAGTTCATGTACAGATGGCATTGTCTCCCATTTTACAAGAGTACATGATCAAAAGAGAGACTTGACCAACACAGATGACAGTGCAGTAAAGAAATGAAACACTGGAAATGAAATAGAAAGTGTTTATAACAAAAAAGATGAAGATGTCTCAGAGAAAGTGACACTGGCAAACCAAAAAGCAAGACAAAAAACTCTCATATTAAATGAACTCTCAGAGCTATTTCACAACATTGAAAGTGCAAAGGATAAAATGTCGAAAGCTGATTCAAACTTAAGATTGTGACATTTTTGCCCACGCATAGAAAAGATATGATTGACCATACTATAAGTGATATGATTAAAAGAAGGCAAGCACTGATCAATTGACTTTAAATAAATTTTTTTACATAGAAATAAAGCACTTTAATTCTCAATGTTTCTAATGTTTAAATTATAGCATACTAAATGAAATTAGTTGTGTTATTTTTTCTTTATTTTTCCCTGACTATAAGGATTTTTAACATTTTGACAAAAAGAAATGTAGAGGTCATAGAAAACGCATAATTTATCCTATTGATTATTATGATCCCTTTGCATGGTTTCAGCTTGTGTGGTCATTTTTATAGTTCCTCATTCTCATGCAAAGCAAGGACATCCTGTAGTTGTTATTAACAATTATTTTGTCCACCAAATCAAGTATTAACAATGTTAGGAAAACTGTTCATTGCTTTTCAGTATTTCAGAATTTAAAAACTTTGTCATTTCTTTCCTGCTTCTTGTCTTTGTGTTTTCAAAGTATCTGGGTTCTAATTCTAGTCCTGTCTTACCATAGGGTTACCCTCAGAGCCTCCTGATATATCTTACACAGAAGTACGGTATTTAAACTCCTTATTTTACTGTTCTTCAATATTCTACCCTATTCCTTCCTTCTCCTAAATCTTCTACCTTAATTCCATGCTAACCTTTTCCTTTTATTCTTTTCCCTGCTAATATCCTATTCTTCCATACTCTCCTTCAACCCCTGAAAGCCTATCAGTTCTTTAATACATTGTCTTCCTTTCAAAATGACACCTGCCCTAGAACATATCCTTAAGAGAAACTTCTTTAAATTACTGGCTTCTTCCTTATGTTTCATCTACATTTCTGTCAATCAGAAAAGACCAATGTCTTGTTTGAATTTAAATTATTACAGAAAATTCTGTGTAAGAAAAATGTAAAATTGTAGCTGGACATTGACTAGATTAGCACTTGCCAACAATGACATGATTGGCAACAAAATAAGAATTGAAAATAAATACTGTGCATTTTTTTTCACTGTATACACTTTTGTGCCTCTTAAGCCATGTGATTGTGTAGGTAAATATTTTTTTAAAAAATGAAATTTACATTAAGTAAATCATCAAAATAGAAGTCTTGCTTTCAGTTTTCCACTCACAGTTGGTTTGATGTAATTACCTCCAAGAGTTCTGAGGCTTTCAGAAGATGAAACCTTCATCTGCCTAATGTTTTCTGCACACACATAGAATGAAGAGCAGGCTGCAGGGAGCTTGAGGAATGGACTAGAGGCAGACAGATTTTGATTTGGGCATGAGTATTTTGCTCAAAGAGAGGCTGACAACCTGATTTGTTCTCTTTAAGACCTTTGAGATTATAGTAAGGTGACTGGAAGAGGATTCAGTTTAATAGGCTGACTGAATGCTGTCTGAATATTTTTCAGGTTTAAAATGCTGAAAGAAGTGTTTCATCTATATATTTAGGTAAACTTTGCTTAGAATTTTTAGTCTGTTACTACCTCTTGAATTTTCCATGGTCATTGCTGCATTTAATGTTAGTTAAAGAGTGCATTTATCAGACAAAAAAAACATCAGTGACTCTGTTTGGCTTATTTCAGTTCATAGTTTCCTAAAGAGATTCCAGGGAAATTCTCAGAAGCCTCAAACTTGTGATGGTAATAGCACCAACATCAATTAATCTGGAATCTCTTTTTAAAAAAAAAAAACAAAAAACAAACAAAAAAAAAACCAAAAAAACAAACATAATTCTCACAACACTTAAAAGAGTTATCTGCCATAAACAGAAATTCTTTTCTACTTCTCAATTTACTTCTCTAAGCCCATTTCACATCATGATTACTAGTTTCATTGGGCATAAGCTGTCATTTTTGTTAGTATATTTTACTGTGCCGTGTAATGAAAAATTTTTCGTTAAACCAGTTGTGCATCTCCTACTCTAAAATGGAAGCAGAGTGATAATTTGAATGTAGAACATAGTCACTGCACCCTGACTAGAGTAATCAATGCAAGAACATCCTTAAATCTTTTCTTCTGTAACAAGGGCAAACTCAGCTAAAAAGTTTGCTTAAATCATGCTTGGCATAACAAGAGCCTTTAAACTTTATCTATCTCTATCTGTGAATATACCTGACTCATCATCATAGTGCCTTTCAACTCAGCCCCACTCAGCTCAACTGCTCTTCCTGCCTTATACAGATATTTAAAATTCCTTAAGGCTTCTGGTGAAGGTTGCAGGGTTTTTATACTTAATATTATTTTATAGCACAGGAAGTTCATAACTCATGAATATCTCACATTTGCAAAATAAAATGGAGGGCCTTTTCTCTGTATACTCTAAGTCTGTTTTTGGTCTCTGACTGTGGTGTTTGTGTCACATTTGTGTCATAAGCATTTGTTTCTAAGCAGCAATTACATCAGAGTAAAGCCGTTTTTAAAATACTAAAAGGAAAAGCAGCAAGAAGTAATGATTTTAAAAAGTCCTTCATAATCTTAATCTGAAATTAAAGAAATCAAAGAAATCTGCTAGCAAGACTACTACATTATAGCTTTTCTCCACATATAAAAGCATCTTGTATTACTGTTATTTACAAGTGGCTGTTCTTTCACCCATGTTCTTGTCCTCTGTTATCTCCTGTACAGAATAGTGCCATTATCTATTATGAAAATTATCTTGAAAAGCAATAAATTATCCTGTTTAGTACCTACATTGATTTGATTAGCTCTGTTTCTATGTTATTACAACATAAATGTTCTTATTGTACATACTTTATTAGCTTTTCTTAATTGCATAACTTATCTTTGATGGCTCACTTTGCTTTATATAGTTTAGTAAAGATCCACACAAAGGATTGACACTTAATCATTTCAGTGTATTTCCAGGTGGTTCCCAGTGAACTAAATTGTTTTAATGTGTGATGTTAATTCTTTCACTGTGAGGAGGGAGGCATTGTTCCTTAAAGTAATCAGCTGCAAGAGTTTTCCTGGATTACTGACTTTACTCCCTGGATCCAGAGAGGGTCTTCCCAGTATCTAGTCTCTGCATCTTGTCTTCTGCTTCAGCCTTTTGTCCTGCTTATTGACTAATATGATTCTTGAGGTCCTACACCTGCTCATCCTAGTGGCAATGCCTTTACACCACAATGCCTGGTCAGTGCTAACTTTACTAGGAAATCTGCAGAGTAGGGAAGACAGTAAAGATCAGCAGCATGTAGTCTACCCTGCCCTCTCTGTCCGACTTGGATATCATTCTTAGATATTCTGGTCTGCTTTGTTGCTTTATCGCCGTCAAAAAGTTTTTTTTTTTTTTTTTTTTTTTTGAGACTCTATTATAGAAAACTAAAAGTTCTTACAGACTCGAGAAAAGCAATGTCCTCCTTTATCTCGAGTAGGAGAAGCTTTTGGGAGAGAGCATTTGGAGGAATGATGAAGCAAGGATCACCTTCCCAGCCAGTGAAATAACTGACCAACAGAATGACATAAAAGGCAGATTACTCACATCCGGATGTTTTCATGGACTTAATATACTCAGAGCACTGTGGCTAGTTCATGAATTAGCATGTTGCTTGGCACATAGGTACAAACTGAATGGTATATCTATAATATGTATGTTAGAGGTTTTATATCTCCTAGCTGGAGAACTAAGACATAAAACTCCAGCTGTTTAAGGCAGCAAATGTATGTGAGTTTAAATGGCAGTAAGTTCAGAGAGGTCACTGTGGTCCAGAGTATAGGGCAAGACTTCTCAAAACTATGAAACTTGAACCAAACCCCACAAGGATGTTGATTCTTAACTCTGCTTCCATAGTTTCCTGCTTCTTAGCATTTGTAGATCATGACCATTGGTTTTGTCTCCTTAGAACAGAGAATTCTTAAGGGAAGCCTAATAATAAAAATCCTGATACTGTCCATTTTTAAGTATTTCTGCTTAAAACAACTCTTTCAGAAAACCACCCTTGATTCCAAAGATCCTAATAATAGAAAACTTCTTAACTTCTCTTTGGGTAAGTATAGTTGTCCTGCTCTACTGTCAGTTTCTCTTCTCCCTCATTTAGATTGTAAATATATAGGGGACTGGAACCATATGTTTCTTATCCTTACTCTGTAATTCCCTATGGATAAGACTGGCCTGATTCTTACATTGTAATCTAATCACTTACTAAGAGTGAATTTTTTTCCACGTATTTGTTGAAGGTGATGGATTAGCCTTTCAAACGCCCCAGCACAAATAGCACTGGTTGTCTTGAGCATTCCCATCAACTGCCTTCCCCTGATCGCTATTCCTGTACCAACTAAATGTGCTTCTACTTCCTTTCTCTGCTAGCCCCATTTCCGTAGGACGCTGAATATACTTTTAAAGAGATGGCAAGACATCCCTTCAGAATATGGGCTTTTCTTTTTGGCAGCAGATACGCACATTGGTAGATGAGATCTGACCAAGTACAAAGAAAGCCTTAAGTGAGATCATCCAAGTAAATCTTAAAACCCATCAAGTGAATATATTGCATTACTTTTTAGTTTAGTAAATGTTTTCAGCCACTGTGTTTTAACTCAGCTTAACTATAATAAGGCTTTGCTCCCATCTGTTTGAACTCACTTTTTCTAATTCATTAAAAATAATTTCATTCAACTTTTGTTTTCAACAACTAATGAACCTTTTTCGTGTTCTTCTCTTGTGAAAATGGGCTGTTTTCAAAATATAGGCCTTAGCATACATATTGCTTTCTCTTCTTTATCCTGCTTTGTGATCCAGCTTTCATTTTGTTTGGCAGATACTGATAGCTTTGTGATTTTGAAAAAATAGCATGTAAGTGTACCTTGAGGATACCAGCAAAGTTATTCTTAAATGAACGTCTGTATATTTCAAGCTGTTTTTTATAGACCTTCGTCTTAAAATCTAATTAAAGGCAAATATGGAAGTCTTTTTACCATTAATGCTACAGAGATTCATTTATTTAACATTAAATAAATATTTCTTGACTTCCTGCTATGTTCCAGGCGCTGAAGATCTAGCAGTGAATAAGACAAGCAGTGACCCTGCTCATAGCCAGAACACATTCTAGCTGGGGTTGCAGTAGAGATACAGATGACAGATAACTAAGTGCACAGCCTGTAGCGATGGCAGCTAATTTTCTGATTATTCTTTTCCCTTTACCATTGCTTCAAGGCCATATTTGCAAACTCAACACAACACAACCTGTAGTGTTGAGTTGAATTTAGTCTCAAGCTGTTACCTTCATCTAGGAAGAGGTATTTAAGGGTCGAGGAAGATGAGGTTAGGAAGGAGATGGTAGACTTCAGATGTTTTAGGAGACCAAGGATATAAGATTTGATGCCCTATGGAGAACAGAAAAAGTCAAGAACAGCTTCTAGGTTTAAGCTTGGGTGACTGAGTTGGTGATAATGCAATTAACTAGCTCAAGAGTCTCAGAATGAGAGGCAGGTTTAGAAGTGGGGATAATGAATTTGACTTGGGGCAGTGAAAAGTACAAAACTGGAAATCTGAAGAGAAGTCAGAACTGAAATAGATTTGGCTGTTACCAGCATTTCATGTAAACTTTAAAAGAAGCAAGAAGTGTAGTCAGTATTGTCAGATATGGCAGGATGAGAATCTTTTAAAAGGCCATTGGATTTGACCTTTGGAAAATCACTGATGACTTCAAGAAGACCGATTTCAGTAGAAGTGGATGGGGACAGAGCCATGTGATGATTGGTTTACACAATGAAGGGCTATGATTGTCTAGCCAAGGTCATTGTGCTCTTCCTCCTTGGAAACTTTGAAACTGAGGTCAGGGCTTTTCTCCCTCCCTCAGCTTTCTCCACTCAGGGCCCACAACTGGACGCCTGAGCTAGGGGCATGATGGAGGAACAAATTAAGATCTTTGGGTCTCTGGTGGGACAAGGGCCCAAGGATAAAGGAGCCTGATGTTGGTGAGTCAGATATTGCAGGGAGCATCCTCAGTGGGGGACAGTAGGTCAGGCCAGTTCAGAGACCTGTCTCTAGAGGGGGAAAGAGAAAACACACATGTAGATCTCTGCTGTTTGAGGAAACTCCGGACCAAGAAGCTGGGTTAGAATGGGAAACAAAAGGACCTTTAAGGCTGGGGGAAGAAACATGGAATTAGTTAAGAAGTTCTGCCCAGTGAGGGAGTGGAATCTGGCAGAGTTTGGCAGGGGTAGAATCTGAGGTAGCAAACTGATGTTAACTAGAAACTCAAGCAGGAATACCTAGGTTTCTTAGGGCACAGGGACTGGGGATATGCAAAGAGGAACTGTTGGCAGTACTGGTGACCATAAAGATAGTAGTGAGGAGGCAGTTTATGAATTGAGGGGTCATTGCAGCAGTATCTGACATAGATATTTAATAAATATTTGTGAAGCCAAGAGGGTCAGTGGTTCCTGGGAATAGTGGGTCCTGAGTTTCTGAAGAGGCATAAGAAAATACCTAGGTTCCATTCAAGGAGAGGATGGAGGCAGTGACTAAGGGGCTTAAGACAGCTTGGAGGTGCAAATCCCCAAATGGAACTTTGTTCCTCGATGGAAGTTAGAAGTAAAGGTCAGGGTTGGGGGCTCAGTCCCTTAACCCTAGGACCTAGGAGTTCCTGCATCTACCAGATTTCCCCACCTACACACAGGCACCCTTGGCCTGTAACGCCTTCTCTGCCCACTAGGGGGCAGGGCTCGAGGGGGCTGGTGGCTGTTCTGAAGCCTCGAGGGCCTTCAGTTTCTACCAGAGCCGCTGCGGGAGCTGTCCTACCCATGGCCCGACACAGGACCTCAAACCTCTGCCCCCTTCCAGGCAGTGGTGGGGGCGGCCCCAGAGGGCCAGTGCCCCTGCGGGTTGACACTCTGACGTGGTTGAACACCCAGGCGGCCCCTGGCAGGGTGATCATCTGGCCGGCGGTCCGGCTGGGGGTCTGCCCAGGCCCTGAGGCGTGGGGGATTCCCCCGGGTCCCCTGCCACACGAATTCCGCGGCTGGATAGCACCTTGCAGAGCCTGTCTTGGAGCTGGCGAGGCAGGGACCTGGTTGCGAAACCCGTCCGAAGGCGCCCTCCTCGGGCCCTACATTGCCCTGCGGAGCATCCCGAAGTTGCCGCTGCCAGAGGACGTCTCATGCATACAGAAAGAGTTGCAGCAGCTGGCCAAGGAGCTGAGAGAGAAGAGGCTGAACCTAGGGTACTCGCAGGCCGATGTAGGGATCGCTGTGGGAGCTCTATTTGGGAAGGTGCTTAGCCAAACGACCGTCTGCCGCTTCGAGGCTCAGCAGCTAAGCCTCGCCAACATGTGGAAGCTGCGACCACTGCTGAGAAAGTGGCTGGAGGAAGTGGACGCAGAGAACCTTCTAGGCTTATGCAAAATGGAGATGATCCTGCAGCAGTCTCGCAAGTGGAGACGGGCAAGCAGGGAGCGACGAATCGGAAACAGCCTGGAGAAGTTCTTCCGGCGGTGCCCGAAGCCCACACCACAGCAAATCAGCCACATTGCTGGGTGCCTCCAGCTGCAGAAGGATGTGGTTCGAGTTTGGTTCTATAACCGCAGCAAGATGGGCAGCCGGCCAACCAATGATGCTTCCCCACGGGAGGTTGCGGGGGCTGCCGCTCTTCCATGCCCAGGGGCACCAGTGTGCTTTCCCCTGGGACTGGGGATCCCGGTGGGTGTCCCCCACTATACACCTCTCTACTCTGCAGGGGTAGCCCACCCCTCTGCCCCAGGCACCACTCTGGGCCTCCCCAGACTTTAGGGCTGAGGGACATGCCCTTCGCGGCAAGTTTGGAGAGAAAAGAAAAAGGGAAAACCCAGGAAACGTCCCTGGGGTTCATTTAAGGATTTTTAGCATTAAGATCTCATTCACTGTCTAAAGAAGTTAAGAATACATAGCAGGGAATGGGGTGTGGGAATTATTCAAGAAAAACTTGGGAGAGAAGTAACTTATTGCAGTTTTTGTGTTTTCCCTTTGTTTCTCCCTAGCATTGGTTTCAAGGTACATTACAGTATATAGATGGTTTTGATATTGTGTTTCTTTTTTTTTATTAAATATTATATCTGTTATTCCTTGTGGTTATGAGTAAACATAGGGTTTAAATTTTTTTTATAGACACAATACTAAGTGAAAAATTCGAGTCACAGAAGACTACCTTAGTATACAATTTTTAATTAAAATCAAGCAGAACTCTTTGTAAACACAAACACAAAATCCAGGATAATAGTTATCTCAAGGGGATGGCTTCAGAATGTGATAAGGAAGAAACACACAGAGCCCACCTAGAGCGCTTGCTGAAACACCTGAGCTTTCTTGGAAAATTCTTTTTTTTTCTAATTTAACTTTTCCTTTCTAGTGCCCCAGCTTCATGTCAGGATCTCAGTTCATCTCCCCACTTTATGCAGTCCCATGGGCTTATGTCCTGTCCTGCCACAGTCACTATATTCTAAACTCCTTTGTTATTGAGGTTGGCAAGCTGGACAGCCAGAGCTTTAGTGCCCGCAGTAGCTTATTCCTCCAGTTTTCAGCTCGATTTGGTTCCCTGGGAATTTCCTTTACTTTCTCTTGATATCTGGTACAGTTTTGAGAGATATTTGTAATTGTTTATCCAAACTTCCCTGGTGGCTTTTGCCATTATACATCAAATCACTCTTCTAATTTTGTCTCTGAAATTGGTCTTTTCAGTTTTCCACTTCTACTTTGGTCAGTTTTGGTCACCATATACTAAATAGAAATCATTCATCCCTTTTTGTCTTCAAATCTCCTGTCACACCCCTGCCTGTACTATTTATTGTCCTGGAATTCTATCAGTATAGATTATAACAGAGTTTATGTCTTATTTCTGGATACTAATATTGTCAATTTTTGCTTTTTTTGTAATCAGTCTGCAAAGATTTTATCTATAGATATTTTCAAAGTATAAGCTTTTTGACTCTTACTCTACTTACTACTATTTTTATTCCCTAATTAATTTTCACTTTACACTTCTAAATTTTTTCCTGATTTCTTCTGGTTTTTATCATTGCTCTTTTTAATAGTTTTTACATGAGTACTTAGTTTCTTTTTTTTTTTTTCTAGTGGGTATATAGAAAATAACTCTTGTGGGCCTGAGAGTGTAAACCAGGGGCCCAATAAGAGACTTAACTCTGATCTTCTGACCACAAGGCCAGGGCTAATTTTACTATCACACAAGTCAGGCATGACTAAGCTTTCTATTTAATCTTTTCTTCCTGAGGCTGTAGAAAATTTACCTTTACGTGTGTGTGTGTGTGTGTGTGTGTGTGTGTGTGTGTGTGTGTATGTGATAAAATGTAAAATTTGCCATTGTAATAATTTTAAGTGTAAATTCAATGACATTAGTTACATTCACAATGCCAGGCAACCATTACCACTATCCATTTCCAACATTTTTCAGTCACTCCAAACATAAACTCTTCTCATTAAGCAATAACTCCATTCCCCTACCCCTTAACCCAGTAACCTTTAATCTATATTTCTGTGAATTTGTCTGTTCTAAGCAGTTCATATTCATGGAATCATACAACATTTGACCCTTTGTTTTGGCTTATTTCACTTAGCATGTTTTCAAGTTTCATGTATGTTGTAGTATGTATCAGAACTTCATTTTTGTTTTGACAATAATATTCCATTGTATGGGTATACCACATTTTGTTTATCCATTCCTATGATGATGGGCACTTAGATTATTTTCATTAATAGCCAGCGGGCTATTGTGAATATTACTGCTATGAACATTTGTGTGTAAGAATCTGTTTGAGTATCTATTGTTTCCGTTCTCTTGGATGTATACATAGGAATGGAATTTCTGAGTCATATGGTAATTCTATGCTTAACTTTTTGGGAAACTGCAAAATTGTTTTTCATAGTGAAGACACCATTTTACATCCCCACTAGCAATGTAAAAGAGTTCCAGTTTTTCCATATCCCTGCCAACACTTGTTATTTTTTAAAAAATTATAACTATCTTGGTAGCTGTGAAGTGGTATCTCATTGTGGTTTTGATTTGTATTTCCCTAATAACTAATGATGTTGAGCATCTTTTCATGTGCTTATTGTCTATTGTGTATCTTCTTTGAAGAAATGTCTATTCAAATCCTTTGACCATTTTAAAAATTGGGTTGTTTTTTTTCTTCATAGAGTCTGGATACTAAGCCCTTATTAGATAGATGATTTGCAAATATTTTTTCTTATTCTGTGGGTTGTCCTTTCACTCTTTTGACAGTATCTTCTGATGCACACAAGTCTTTAATTTTTATTAAGTCCAGTTTATCCATTTTTTCTTTTGTTGCTTGGGCTTTTGGTATAGCCAAATGCAAAATCATGAAGATTTGCTCCTCTGTTTTCTCCTATGAATTTTACAGTTTTATTTATTAAATTTAGGTCTTTGATTAATTTCAAGTTAATTTTTGTATATGGTATGAGGTCAGGGCCCACCTTCATTCTTTTGCATGTGAATAGCCAGTTTTCCCAGCACCATTTGTTGAGAAGTTCTTTCTGAATTGAACGATATTAGCACCCTTGTCAAAAATCAGTTGACCACACACATGAAGGATTATATCTGGGCTCTCAGCTGTCTTCTGTTGGTCTATATGTCTGTCTTTATGCCAGTACCACATTGTTTTGACTATTGTAGGTTTGTAGTAAGTTTTTAAATTGGGAAATGTGAGTCTTTCAATTTTGTTCTATGCCATTGTGGGTCACTTGAACTTTCATATGAATTTTAGGATCAGTTTTTCCATTTCTGCCCAAAACACCATTGAGATTTTGATACAGAATGCATTGAACCCTCAATGTTGCTTTAGAGAGTGTTGTCATCTTAACAATTTTAAATCTTCCAATCCATGAACAAAGGATGTCTTTTCACTTATTTATGTCTTCTTTGATTTCTTTGAGCAATGTTTTATAGTTTTAGTGTATAAGCCTTTAATTTCCTTAAAGTTATTCATAGATATTTCATTCTTTTGGATACTACTGTAAATGGAATAGTTTTCTTCGTTTCCTTTTAAAATTGTTCATTGCTAATGGATAGAAAAACATCTGATTTTCTTGTGTTGGTTGTGTATCCTGCAGCTTTGCAGATTTAGTTCTAAGAAGTTTTTATGTGCATTCTTTAGGGTTTTCTACATATAAATCATGTCATCTGTGAATAAAGATAGTTTTGCTTCTTCCTTTCCAATTTGGATACCCTTTCTTTTTATTACCCAATTGCTCTATCAAAAACTTGTAGTATTATGTTGTATAAAAGCAGCAGAAGGGGACATCCTTGTCTTGTTTTTGGTCTTAGGAGAAAAACTTTCAGTCTTTTCACCACTGAGTATGATGTTAGCTGTGGCTTTTTCATATGTAGTATTACTCATATTCAAGAAGTTCCTTTTTTCTTAGGTTATTGAATGTTTTTATATGCAAGGATATGGGTTTTTGACAGTTTCTCTGGAATGAATGAAAAATGCTTAAGGGATATATGAAATCCTGTGACTATTTCATAAGATTATGCTAACTACCAGTGCTGCTACTTCTTTCCTCAGTACTACCATCACCATTGCACCAACACCTAAAGGACCTAAGCATCATTTTTCCCCCAACTCTAAGGGTGATTATTTCTCTGTTTCGAGGGAATCTCATTCTCATGACATCCTTCTAAGAGTAAATGACTCACCTGGGGTGATGAAAACAAGTTTTAAATCAGATCTTCCATAGTCCACAATATGAAGCAGCCCCAGATGTAGCTCAGCTTTCAGGAATGAACTTTTGGTGAAGTACTTGTAAAACAAAAAGTCAAGTAAATATTCATGCTGCTCTTAGATTCTTCTAACTCTTTAAAAAGTTTATTTAATTATAAACAAATTGTAACAACTTTAATTTTCAGAACATACCTATAAGCTGTATTGTTTCAGGTGGACAGTGGAGATATATCAAGATTATACATATACACTTGTATAAGATTAGCTTGAGTTCCCAGTTTATTTACTCAAGAATATAGAATCACATTGGAAATACCATGGCCACAGAGCAGGTGTAAACGAACCATATACATCAGCACAGCTTCCCATGGTCCAGCATCCTTGATGATGGTGCCCAAAATAAGGCACTGGATAAAAAGGGTGGAAATGAATTCCACACTAGTTTTTTTTATCCTTGGGGCTACGTCAGTGCTCAAGAAAAAATGTCTGCTCTTAATGCTTCCATTTAAGAGAATATTTGGTGACGTTAAGCTCCTTCTGGTTCTTGGACCAAACTCGGTGACAGTGAATCCACAACTTCATTGAGCAGAAGAATCTGAATTAGTGCCTGGGTCTCTGATCCCAGCTTACAACATCCCAGTGAGACCATTTCCTCCACACAAGCTCCTGGGACCCAGCTTAACAAATGTATGCTTTTTCTTCTTGTCAGTATCTAAAGATAGAGCACTGAGGATCCACATAAGTTAGTAAAAATGGAGCCAAACCTTAATTCCTTGGCTTTAGATTGAATAGGTGACTAGGCACTTACTATTGGATTATCCCACTAAAAGTCACATGGCACCAACTCCATTTCATCCTTTTCCTAGACAGCCCTTCTGCAGAGAGTCAGACAGTGTTGAATGTCAGGATAAACAGCTCTGATTGTGTTGTGAGCGTAAGATCTATGAAGAGGCGCTGACCCCAGCTGCTCCTTCAGTTCTTCTGCAGCGTCTACAGATGTGGAGAAGTTGTGATGGGCTCTCAATCTCAGGGAACAGCTCTTAGAGTCCACCTCAGCCCCCACATAGCTGCATCATCGACACACCCCACATAGCTGCCCCACCTGTGCTTAGTCAAAGCCTCGTATGTGTCCCTAATCAGCTTCACATAATTTACAAGATTTTCTCTTGACATGCTGTGAAAAGGGAAAAGGCTGGACCTTAGGGAAACCTTAATACTGAAGTAATTTCAGATTTTTCAGAGATTTAAGATGATAAGTAGAAACTTTAAGAATAAGATCCCTTAAACAGAAAAATAACCACCCTGAGAGTTGGGAGAACACCAAGAATGTGTTGTTAAGTAGTTAACAATGTTAAATGTTATAGAGATCAAGTAACGTAAGAAATCAACTAAGATACATTGGCCAGGCGTGGTGACTCAACGCCTGTAATCACAGCACTTTGGGAGGCCAAGGTGGGCAGACTTGAGGTCAGGAGTTCGAATCCAGTCTGGCCAACATGGTGAAACCCTGTCTCTACTAAAAATACAAAAATTAGCAGGGCATGGTGGTGCACACCTTAATCCCAGCCACTCAGGAGGCTGAGGCAGGAGAATCACAGCCTGGGCAACAAAGTGAGACTCTGTTGCCCAGTGAGATTTAAAAAGAAAAATCTCAGTGAGTTAAAAAAAAAAAAAAAAAAGAAAATCTACTAAGACATATCATTTCAATAACAAAGATGCAATTGATGCCTTTAGTAATAATTTCAGTGGCATAGTTAGTAAAGACAGATGTCAAACAACAGTCCAAAGTCTTCATATTTGTTCAGATTTTCCCCTACCTCAATTTAAAAAATAAATTTCAACTCCTGACTCCAATAGATCTTCACTGTCATTCTGAAAATGTTCCTTTGTCAAACATTTTGGTTATCTTATGTTTCCTATAGACAAGGCAAGTGTTTTTAATCTGAAGATGCTTTTCCCCTTTAGAGTATAAGCAGAATAGTGTTTTTGTACATATATGCATTTTCTTTAAAGATGGTTGATAGCCTTCATCACCTTTTCAAGGGGAATATAACTCTTATTAAGATCTACAGTTTCAGAATTTAAAAAGCACCTTCCCTTTTGCCACCTTTTTCAAATGATTTCCTTTGACAGTACCTATCTAATAGGAAATTTCTGGTTTTCTTTGAATCTGTATTTTCTAGATATCTCCAGCTCAGTGTCATATCAAGGCCCAGAATTGCATTTTACATGAGTCTTATAAGTTCAGACTAAATAATGTAGTGATTATTACCTTTCTTTTATCAATCCTTGGCACTTCAATTAAAATCTTATCATAAAGAACAATTTCTTTTTTTCCTAGAAGTTTCTTATTCACTAAGAAATCATGAGGTGTTTGGATATCTGCCCTTATTTCAAAGCATGATCTTTTTCTTGAATTAGCATCTGTTTCTATAATTTCATGTTTTTGAAATAGATATACTGTATATCCTTGCTTATTATACTAAATCTGTTTTATGGGGATTCATTTTTCAAAATAGCCACTTTTGTTTATGCGTTTCTTCTAGAAATAGCCTTGCCTACTAAACAGTATTGATTTTC